CCCATGCCGTGGCAGCGCCCTCTCGCACTGCTTGGCGAGGAGCCAGCCCCTTGCTCCGACGCGTGTTCACCTCCCGCCCTCGCTAACGAGCCCAGAGCTCGCCCGTCCGCCAGCGAGCTCAGCAGGTTCTCTGCCGAGTTCCAGTCCCCGCGTCGCTGCCGCGTCTGGGCACCCAGGTGCCAATCCACGCCCGCCCTCGTGGCCGTGGCTGCATCCCATGGCAGCGCTGGTCCCGGAGAGAGCCCGGTGGCTGAGGATCGCCCCTTACCTGCCTGGCTGTCCTCCAGTCCCGCGCTGGCGAGGGACTCGGCGGGGGAGGTGGACATGCTTTTGGCTGGAGCGCCGGGTGCTGATGGATGAGTGCAGGGCCCTCGGCCTTCTCCCTCTGCCTCTCCTCAGCTGGGGGGGGACCCTTGGTCCCCACAGAGTCCCCAGTCCTGGTTCGGCTGCCCCAGTGGTCAGCACGAGGTGTCCGGAGCACGGGGAGGAGCTGGCTTCCCAGCCCCCGAATGGTGGTGCGGCGCGGGCAGAGAGCACATGGGCAGCGCTGGCCTGGGAGCCGCTGGCTGGGGTGGCTGGTGTCCAGCCTCTGGCTCTGCGGGCTGGTGGCAGGGGTGTTTATGTGCCGCGGGCGCCGAGCTGGGAAGATTAGTTCTTAGCGCTGTGTAAGCAGATGCCTGCTTGTCATCCTCTTAATCTTTAGTGCCGCGGCGACGGCGGATCAATCAGCCACGCGATGAAGAATTAAAAAGGTGCCGGGACCCGGCAGGGATGGAACCAGCTCCCTGTAACCCGATCCCGGTGACATCAAACCCGCTGGGCCAACGGGCCCTATCACCCAGCCCCGCGCTCCGGTCCCCGCGGAGGGCGGTTCCGGCTCGCTGGTTCAGCCACCGCGCTGGGTGGCAGGGGCGGGCCTGGGCTCCCCCTCCGTGCCGGACATTCGATCTCTAGTCCCTGCCCCGGCTGCCAGCAGGCCCAGCGCCCGCCGGGGGGCTGTGGAAAGGGGGTGTCAGCCCTCACCCGAGGGCACCGGCTCCTCCGGATTTCAGGAGGCGGATTTCTGGGGCAGGTCAATGAGCTGGTTCCCCGTGCCAGCTGGGAGAGCTGCCCCTGCTTGGCGGGAAGGGGGGTAATTACAGGGGCCGCTGTTCACAGGGGCTCGGGGCAAGCTGGGAGCGAGGGAGGCTCCGCACCGCGCTTCAGGGGCCTGGGCCAGAGCACAGCAGGGCCTCTGCTCCCCAGGGGTCAGGAGGCGGATTTCTGGGGCAGGTCAATGAGCTGGTTCCCCGTGCCAGCTGGGAGAGCTGCCCCTGCTTGGCGGGAAGGGGGGTAATTACAGGGGCCGCTGTTCACAGGGGCTCGGGGCAAGCTGGGAGCGAGGGAGGCTCCGCACCGCGCTTCAGGGGCCTGGGCCAGAGCACAGCAGGGCCTCTGCTCCCCAGGGGTGGGGGAGCTGAAATCTGGAGCTGGGGTGCAGGTTCAGCCCCAGGCAGGGAGTGGGGAGTCTGCAGCTGGAGCGAGGCCCCGAGCACGCCAGGCCCCACTGCTGGAGGCTGCCCTGCTTGGGGAATGGGGCACTGATCTGGGAGGGCTGGCTCCACAGCTTCCCCATGTGACGAGCCTCCGGCCCGCAGGGGCGTCTGCCTTCCCCCGGGGCAGCGGGGGGCACGTGCAGCCAGTGCCACCGGGGGATGGGCCTCGACTACATGAATCCCCCAACGTGGCAGCCTGGTCCCGTCTGCCCAGCAGCCCCTTGCCTGCTTGCTGCTCGGTGCCTTGCTCGCTTCTCGGCACCGCGGGGCCAGGGCATCTCGGGATGGAGCTGGGAAGGGGGGTGAGAGAACATGGAGGGAGCCATGAGCCTCTAGCAGGTCCCTGTATTTGCATCTGTCTCCCCGACCCCATGTCCTCACAACTCATGAGCCAGGCCAGAGCGTCACCCGATGGCACAAAAGGAGAGACCCTGGGCTGTTCCCATGGACTGTCTGGGCTTCCAGCTGGGAGGGTCGCTTCCTGCTTTTCTCTGCAACCAGGAACCAAACAACGTTAGATCAATTCCTATGTGTCTTCCTGGAGCAGGTTTCCCTGGAAGCCGGGCGCTTGTGCAGCTGCCCAGGAGGGATTCCAGTGCCCCCGGCTGACAGCAGAGCTCTCATAGGTAGGCTTTTTGGTTCGGGTGGTGGTGCGCATTCACCCCTGCCTCGGTGCACATCAATTTATTCCACACATGGAAAAAGTTAGAGGGGACCTTGCTTCTGAGCCACAGCCCACCCCTTACCCGCTGGGCCATGTTGCCACTTACACAGCATGTTTGAAACCCAAGTGGGAACACATGCAAACTGATGGAAAATGGGAAACCGTTCTCGAGACAGAGTCCAGAGCAAACCGCGAGTGGTTCACAGGGAGCAGCCCCCTGCCATCTCCCCTTCCAGCGCACTCTGCCTGGAGCCTTGGTCTGCTACTCAGCCAGCCAGAGTAACGCCTGGTACCCAGTGTATACCGGGCTGCCTGTGTTAGCCCCTAAATTACGGTAATTACTGGGCACGCTTGCAGGCTCTCTGCAATCCCGCTGCATTAATCCAGTTACTCCGTTGAAGTAACGAGGGGGGGGGAGATGATAAAACAGGCTGAATGGAGCCTGCTTGTTGAACAAAAACAATTAGCCCCCGACTCACTCAATCCCTAGGCGTCATCAGAGGCCATATGGTTGGGGGGGGGGGGGCCTCCCCCCAGCCTGATCCCCCTCCCAGAACCTGCCACCTTGTTCTCCCCAGGCGGGAGCCCTATCTACTAGGCCACGCAGGAACCCACCCCTCTACCTTACCGCGGGTAGGCCCTTTATCCCGCCTGCCCCAGCGCTGCCCGTCCCGACCCAACCCGACCCCAGGACTTGAACCCACGACCCTGTCTAGGAGTGGAGCTGGCTGGCCACTGGTGACTTTCTCCCTCCTGCCCTCTGTGGCTGAGAGCGTGCCCTGGGCCAGGTCTCCAGCTTAACACTCCACTGTGCGGACGGGCCTCCCTTGGGAGGAGCCGTCTCAGCTCACGTGAGGCAAAAATTGTCCTGGGAAAGCCTTTTTTCATCCCCAAACCCCAATTTACAGCTTTGGTCCCAGCCAACACCACCCCACTCCGTTCCGGGGAGCAGTTTGGGCCTGTCCAAAACGAAACATTTTCACTTCTTGTGCCTGATCCGCCCCAGCTGGGCTCTGCCGTCCAGTTTAATAACACCGGATTTTAAGGGGATCAGACAGGTTACTGCTGCACCCGTGGGGGGGGGGAGGTTGCCCCAAAAGTTGGTACAAAGGGGGCCATGCAAGGTGTCAAATGAAAGCTTATCTTATACTGATTGTATATACGCTATTCATGTGATTGCATAATGTCTGTGTGTGACATTATAAGCATGTACTTTGTGTGATACCGAATGTTTCTCTGTATGTGGTTGAGCAATGGGCAAAGCAGCTCAGCCTATGGACATGCTAATGAGCAAGTCTCTATGGAACTATAGGCCAAGGACACACCTCAAGAATGGGGACTGATACCTAAGGGCTACCAGCAGGGGAGACAGGGATAGGCCACGGGCCAGGTGACCTGCTGCAGCCAAGAAGAGACCAAGAAGGAGGTATAAAGATGCCATGTGGCAGCCTCCATAGAATCATAGAACCATAGAGCTGGAAGAGACCTCAGAAGGTCATCCAGTCCAGCCCCCTGCTCTAGGCAGGACCAATCCCAACTAAATCAACCCGGCCAGGGCTGTGTCAAGCCGAGACATTTGGTCTGCAGATCTGCTCCTGACCCCAGATGCGGCCTCACAGGGGATCACGAGCCGGGAAGAACCGTGGACCCATCCTGGCATAGGATGTGCACCAAGGACTTTTAAGCCACCAGTTATAACATCTCTGCTAGAGCCTGCATCGAGAACTCCATCGGGAGATTGGATGCATGTAATGTAGGATACTTTAACAGCCTCACTCTCAGGCTTTCCTTTCTCTTAGAATCTAAAATCTAAAGGTTTATTACTAAAGGATTAGCTCAGCGTGATCTTGTGGGTAAGATCCAGAGGGTAGGTTGACCTAGGATCTATGGCTGGTTTCTTGGAACCAGACAGAACTTGTAGGGGGTAGGTGAGATTGGGTCCTAAAACTCCTCACCTGTGGGCAGGCCCGGGGCTGTTTGGGGCACGGAGAGTGCTGGAGTGTCAGAGGGGTTTGGCTCGTGAGGCTTCTGGCTGGCCAGGCAGGCAGCTGAAGTGCTCATTGTGGCTGGTTTGTGGCGTATTTGGGAAGGTCTCCAGTCTGGGGGCTGTAAAGAGCCCCGAGTTTGAGTAATTCGCCCTGAGCGGACGCCCTCAGCGGTGCCCAGACCCGGCCCGGTCCATCACACACGGCACCAAGTTTGGTTTCACCCTCCAGATATTCTTAGCCAACTTTTGCCCCAATTTGTGGACCGCTTCCTCCCACCTGCAGTTGGGGGCAGCTGGCCCGGTTGCAGCCCAGGCCGTTCCTGTTGCATGGCTACACGGGGGCCATCAGCATACGGCCACTCCCAAAGGACCCAAAATCACGAGTCAGATTCACGAGACTGGCCTACGTAGAAGATGCCGGCCTGGTTTTTGGTCTGACAGCCCTGCCTCAAAGTGTTCACGGTCTAGTGCGAAGCCTTTGCACGATCTAGTGCAAAGCTGAGTTTGTGACGTGGGTGCTGGAACTGAGATGGAGCATACTCGCCTCAGGTGCAGGCCACTGCAGAGCCATTAATGGGGTCCGCTTTCACCCTGTTGCACTGGGCAGGGCTCAAACAGGTGCCCTCCTTGCGAAATGCTCTGCTGCTGCGTAGCGCTCACCTGGGCTGCCCACCCCACGAGGCACGGACGAGTCGTGCCATGTGAGATTTTTCAGCCAAAGCCTTTTTTTCCAGCAAAAAACACCGCGTCAGCAGCCCCAGAGAGATGGTGAATTTGTGTCACTTTTGCTCAGTTGTTTGGGTGGAAAACAAACCCTGTGACCAAAAACAAAAAACTGCAAAAAGTTGACTATTTTTGACTCTGTGTTTCAGATCATGTTGATTTTTAAAATAAGCCAAAACATTTTTAAAGGGCTTGAAATTGAAACCTTTCTTGGGGGAGGGGGAAATGAACATTTCCTTCGATCAGAAAGGGGTCTTTTCCAATCGCTGATATTATATTTTGTTAACATTTTGGTTGGAGCTGACCCAAAAGGATTTTTTATTTTAGATTCCAGAATTAACTGAAAAAACCCGTATTCACCTGTAATAGAGGGGTTCTGGGGCACTACTAAGAGGGTAAAATCGGGGCAGACTGCTTAGAGACGGGGCCGCTCCCAGCCCAGGACTGGGGGTCCTCTGCTAGAAGGCACCAAACCAGGCACAAAGCACATCTGTGCGCCACATTGGCCAGCGAGAAGGCAACAAGCAAGCCCTTTGGACTCTGGCTTTCCTGTGCCAGCACCACCCCTTAGATGGATGAGAGGGGATGAAAACCAATCTCAGCAAATC